TTCTGTGTGATTAGGGTTGTTTCCTGCTTTACTTTAACAGTTAATTTTCTCTGGTGTTTCAATTCGGTTTTGAGCCTCTGTTTGTTTGATTTTTCTGCATTACTTTCATCTACATTTCCTTCCTTTGCCGTGTGTGTGATCCGCAATCGCTGTGCAGTGTATAAAGAGCCCTTTCCTTCTCTTTGTTGCATTGCCTGTGTTTTTTATGCTTCTTTTCCTCCTCTCGTGCTGTCTGATTTCTTCTTTGGATTCATTCTCTGGCTTTTTTGGATTCCATCATTTTTCTTTTCAATCATCTTTCATTATCTGTTGTTGTTTATATGAAATCATAAGTGATTAAAGCTCGCTTTTTGTTTGAGATCTCTTTCTCGCGTGTCCTAGGTGTGGGTCCTTAAGTCTGCAATCCATACAAACTCAGAGTGAGACATGAGGAGCAATAGTAAGATCTCACCAACCTGAAAGACAGTGGTTCCCAAACTTTTTTTGCTAGGCCCCCCTTTGTTTTACAAGAAAAATGTATTTCATACCTCAAACATTTAGTAAACAATTAAGCAAATACAAGTAAACTGCAATAAATTACAGGTAGTAATAAACAACTCTTTTACGGTACGTCCACACCTACACGGGTGTTTTTAAAAACGCAGCTGTTTCTATGCGTTTGGACCTTTCGTCCACACGTAAACGGCGTTTCGAATCACTGAAAACGGAGATGTTTTTTTAAAAACTCCTTTTTGCGTTTACCTGTGGACGAGGAATACAGAGTTCGTCGCGCAACGTCAAAGGTATGTGCCTTTTTTCACATCATGCTGTGCGCACGTTATTGTTTACATGAGATGAATTGCAGAATGGCAGATAGACACAAAATATTGTTACTGTTAATCTGACTATCTTCCGGTTTTACACGCTTACATATACACACGCAGTTACTGTCCCTCCATTTACAAAGGCAGAGGCGTCACGGTGCAATTATTTTACATGTAGTTGTTTTTTTCCTCTGTAATAATATTCAACATTGCTATCAACACATTTTTCAAAAAAAATGCCTCTCTGTGCAAAATGGGTTTAAAAACAAACAACTGTGGGATACTGTTTGTCCGTGATTTAAACAGCCCAGCGCTGCTCCCGACGAAGGGAAAACCAATTCTGCAGGGGAGACCTACCTTGGCATTTGTGCAGGTGAAACCAAAGGGAAGATATGCTTCACCATATTTTCTAGTCTTTGGCTTAGAATGAAGTTGGTTTGGAAACATATTCAGCTATGCTTCACCTCCTGCTTTGCGTTTGTGTGGGCGCCCCGTGCTAGCAGTGTCCACGCGTCTTTTTTTTTTCCCTTTTCATACCGCGCCCCCCCTGCAATGGCTCTGTGCCCCCCCCTATGGGGCGGGCCCCACACTTTGGGAAGCTCTGCTGAAAGAGAAGGTATCAAATGTGTCAGGTATGACCTGAAGTCAGAACATGAGATGGGGGTGGTTTGCAAACTGTTTATGCACAGAGCACCAACGATGGTCAGACTTAAGCAACTTTTGCTTTTGTGGCTGAACTTTACTTCATCATTGCCAAAACAGATGCTATGATTACGATTTGCAAAGCAACAAAAAAAATCTGATTCTAAACTAGCAAATCTGGGTAGGTTTTATTACAGTTTTTTTGCTGTTATTGTTGTTAGTGACAGCAGAAGCTTTCTTAGATTACACTTTCCTTCCTTAAAAAAACCATGCTGAGTTTTTCAGATTTTTTTTTCTAACTATAGTTTTCCTTTATTTGGCAAAATTAAACTCAGGTGTGCCCTCAGACACATTTTCTAGTGACAATAACCACCTCTTGCTAGGCCTAAAAATACAATTTTCATGTTCACGCATCATCTATGAGGTCTAAAACTACTTTCCAATGGAAAACGGTTGGCTTTGTTCATAGATGATGGGCAGCAGGAGAGGGAGATGAGGAATAGTGTGGCAAATTGATTGGAAAGCATGAACTGGCAAACAGCATTGGCAGGGAGGTAAGGTGGCTGCTCACAGAGTTAAGAAGATGGAATGGAAAGGCAGGTTGGATGTGAGAAAGCAGCTAAGCAGTGGGGTGTTTTTTCCCCTCTTTTTCTTTTTCTTTTTTTTTGAACAGACTCACCATCTTTGGCAGGTTGGATCTTGGAGCCCTTGTGCTTCCAAATAATAGTGGGTGGTGGTGAACTGACAACATCACAGACTATGTCAGCATCCTCACCCTCGATGAACTCCTGCGGGTTGGAAGTACTCTTGAACGTGATCTTTTCTGTGGGGGAATGGACATATTACACATTTTTATATGTATTAACACAGAGAGTGACATTTGTAAAGGTGAAAACTTACACATTTTCAATTTCAGTGGTTCACTTTGGTGTTTATATTACACATACCAAAGTTTCCAATAATTAGGTCAGTATATTTGAAATAATCCCCATGAGCCAAAAACTTCAGAGTGAGCTAAATGCTCAGTTTCCAGTATGTTATAGTTCAGTTCTTATTATGGTCATTTCACACAGCCCTGGCTGGGAGAACAGCAACCCCTCACACCTGCTGTTTAAATCTTCTGTTTATGAGAGGGGCAGCCAGTCGGAAGAAAGCTGGCTTAAAGGGACGGTGCTTAAACGGCTGGTTTCATACAGTGGATAAACTCACCAAAGTCCAGCTTGCCAAGCTAGACTGAGAATAACAGTATGGAGCTGGAAATCAGGTTACCTTTAATAACATAAACACTGGCTCTCTCTATTTGAAATGCATTACTCAAAGAGAGCGTTGATAGTGGCTGAGTTACTACAGTTTATGCAGTAATGTTGACTACCAACTCTTCACTGGTAAAGTCTGTAAAGACTGCAAAACCAGGTCATACTTACGGAAGATCTTTACTTGGACAGTGGCCTGGGCTTCCTTGTCTCCATCCTTTGCCACACACTTGTAGATGCCAGCACTGTCCACGGTGGCGTGGTATATGGTGAGAGTCGACGTGGCTTCATCACTGCGGCTCACAAAAATGTCTGCCCTGTTGGGAAGGATCTTCTCACCGCTGGGGGCGTACCAGTCTATGTCTTTAGCATCTCCTACCACTGAAAATAACAAAGTAAATAATGAGATAGAAAAGCAAAACTTTTTTTTTTTAAAGAATTTCACAAGTGGCCTGTAAATAATAGTCAGAACCTATAGGATTGCAACTGAAATCTGTTATCTTGTTTGGTGCTTTTGATGTTTTGCATTAGCTTAGATATGCCTCCCGCTTTGCAAGAAAAGATATGACTCTGAGCATGAACTTGTCGAGGATGCCATGGGCCTGTTACATCACATTACAAAGCTAGTGTGTGCATCTTAATTTAAAATTCAAACTTAATTTACTGCAACGATCACTGCACTGTGTGATGACCTGGGGAAGAACTGTCATCGCTGGCATTCATATTCTTCACATCTGTTCATGTTGGAATAAAGTAGTTGTAGTTCCTTATTTCCCTGATGAATGCATATGTGGAGCTGATTAAGGTTTGAGCTAGACTTTGTTCTCATTAGAGAATGTGAATAAAAATAGTTAAAAATGAATCGTAATTTGAACGGAATATATCAAAACGAAATTAAGAATTCTTGGTTTGAAGATGGTTTGGAAGCATTACTGTGAAATCACAATCTGTTTTCATCCAGTGTATGTTATGTAAACCCAAAGACTAAACAGACACAGCAAAACATAAAAAGGGAGATATGAATTATTTCTGTTTCCTCAGTAGGATTATTCAGTAGGAGGAAACTTTGACTAAAAGAAAAATCAAACAACGTTTCAACATTATTCATCTTTTTATAAACAGTAGTACAAGCAGAGGCAGTTTTTTGTTTCCCTGAAAATTATTAATACTATCTCTTCTCTCAGCTCTAAATGTATTTTGACACCCTTTTCAAACGGAGGAATTCGAGTTCAAACGAATGCAAAAATGTCTTCATAGAACAAAGAATGAAATCACTTAGTACTTAATGTCAAGGCTTCATATTCCACACACAGACACCCATCTTTGCTTTTAGGGCTTCATTTTTACAGAAACATTCTGCTAAAAGCAGTGAAACAACAGGTCATTAGTGGGAGAGAAGTGGTTATTTTTTTCAAAAAGAAAAAAAAACAACCTTGATTGCATGTAGTATGCAAAAGAAAAGTTTGACTGGACTTTGTAATTCCCGTGAAAAACAGTCCACCACTACTCCTTCCATAGGAATTAAGAGGGTATGTAGCTGCCTGGTGCTGAAAATCAAATAGACTTGTTGACGTGGATATGTGCAAGTGTGAGCACCTCTGTAAAAGGAAAAGTTTTGTCACTTTGCTGCTCTGGAGCATTCAGCTGTAAATTAACACATTGCCATGATATTCCCAGGAGCAGACATCTCAGCAAATTCACCCCAAGATCAAACCGTGCAATGCTCAGAGAAACTGCATCTCGGATTCAGCAGGTCTCAGCCAACATAAGAAATATTAAAGTTCATGACAGTACAAGTATGGGATGTTTGGAAGTGTTCTTTGGAGAACTGAGAAGTGGAGATGCTTTGACATAATGCACCGCAGTTTGCAAAAAGCAAATACAGCTTATCAGCACAAACACCTCAGAACAACTGTCGAGAGACAAAGTCATGTAGGAAATGATTATTTCAAGTTAGTCCGGCTACAGGTGGTTCAATAAACTATTTACTCATAAGTCCTATGAAGGTAGCTGTGCAGTGTTTTGAAGTTTCTATTTCAAATTCAAGAAAATGCAATGCATTCATTGTCCAGCATGATTGTAACTCACATCAACGGGATAACGAGAGAGATGCTTTGAATTTTCATACTGGACGACCCCTCGTAAGGGCTATGGGCATGCTGTTAATTCAGTCCCCATCAGCTTTGTTTTGTAGTGTAGAAGTAACCTGGGTTAATAAGACCAAATGAATGAATAATCTCTATTCAGAAAATTAGGACGTTATTTAAATGTAAGAAGATGTTGTATAATGGCAGACTGCAGATCTGTCTTTTGTAAGCAGCATCTGTATCACAGACAGGCTGACAAATGCACAGAGAGAATGTAAGACCTCTGTCTCATTATCTTCTCATACAGCACCTCTCTCCCACCTCTTCTATGTCTTATTTCTTACATGACTCAGATCTCATCATCCCACCACCTCCACAGAATAAGCCCGTCAATTTATCCTTGTGATCTTTTTCTCTTTTTTCCTCCACCAGTACACCAATCTCATTATTTAACCTAACTTGTATTACTTTCATCAAATTACCTCAATAAATACTGCCAATATTGCTAGATGAGGTGACATTTGCATCAAGCCGTGTTAAATGAGGGATGTAGGAAGATCACTCTTACCTTCGCAGATGAAAAATTTGGAATCTCCTACGCTGATCTCCCCTTGTGGTGGAGTAATTTCCACCTGAATGGCAGCTGGGCGAAGAAAAAAAGACAGGACAAAATATAAATTAGTCTCTGGTTCAATCGAAAGGAACGGTGACACGGGGCTGAGACACAATAAGGCAAGACTCAAAGTGAAATGGCCATGCCTGCTCAAAGGAACAACCATGTTTGTATGTAATTTCTATGCTCACTAGAGTGCAACATCTCAATGTGCAAATGTGTTTGAGTTTAAAGTTGCACCCACAAAGCAAAGGAACTCACAGAAGAAATAATAAGCGTCTTTGGTGGCGTATGTATTTATTTTGCACCATGTTGTGAACTGAAACCTGCACTGCTGAGCAAGGACACGTTGGTTCTGGAATTTGCTTTCCCTTATTTATAGTTTGCGATTTACCCCTAGGAAGCAAAACTGTACCTTTTGCTACCAACACTTCCATTTTTGTTGTTAGTGAATTGTGTATCTGATTTCCTCTCTGACACTTGACACTCAAAGCACAAAGCTGGCACCTGAAGGCAGCATAAAAGAAAAAGTAGCAGAGTGAAAGACAAACTGAACTCTTAGAGAAGGACAAATCCTAACTAAATTAGGCGAGACGCGGACTTAACATTCGTTTGCTCACCTTATAAAAACGACCTAACTAAGCCACTCCGAAGCATTCTTGCATCCCGACTTCTGTTTACAGACGCTTAAGAATACATAATACCATAAAGGCTCTAATGCACATCTTCTCTCAGCATCAGCTAAAGCTACAGTGACAGAGATGAGATTTAAAAAGAGCAGAGAGAAACGCTTGCGTGCACCCTAACAAATTTGAATTGATTTTCAAAGGCTTGATCAGCTAATCCTAACTCGCCAGTGCTCCACTGTACTACAAGGGATCTCATGACTTTTTAGAGTGACATGGTTTAATATATGACTCCTATCTTCAATGATATGTGGCACAGGACTAAAGCAAAGCCTGTGAAGTAGAAATACCACAGAATCGTGATCGGAGCTTGACAGAGAAGTCCCGCGGAGCCTCCAGCATGTCGCCACTTCACACAAATGAGTGAGTCAGTCTCAGCTCAATTCTCACCAGGAGATTCATGGGAATGGTTTGCGAGGACTTGCCATTCATAGACAGGTAGCCAACTATCATCACAGCACAATGTGGCATTGTTTCGTAATGCTACAGTTTCGCCATTGCAGAAAAACCTGCATGACTAAGAAGATAATGTCACATCAAAGACCTTTGCTGCTCTTTCTCTCCTATACACATTTTATGTGTAAAGGCATCATCATTATGGTGTGAAGCTTTACCTCAGCCATAATTCTGGAGTGAGGAGAGTGAACACCGCATCCAGACACACAATGTGCTTTTGTGTTTAGAAGCATTTTGAAACCAATACGGTTCTCAGTGTTTTGGCCAACAGTATTTTCTTCTTCTTCTTTTTTTATGCTTGACTAAAACATATCAGGAATGCTGTTAAGGGTCCAAAATGTCCCTTTCATCATATTTACACACATTGTAAGACACTGTGAAATGCATGGTCCACATGAGCAGTGCAAAGCCACAAATAAGAACAGCTAAATTATTAGGTACACCGGTTCGCAAATCAGCCAATCACATGGCAGCAACTTGATGCATTTAGGCAATGGTGTAGATGAGATAGATCGGTAGAGAGGTACTGGCATAACTATGCTACTCGTCAAAAAAAATGTAAACACTGGTTCTTAAATTGAACCGGAAACAAATGCTGCAATCATCATGGTCAAGGACAGTCACAAGTATTGATTTCATACATGTGTTCAAAGTGTGAATAATATTCCCTTTATGCCTTGGTCAAGAAGTCACACAAATATTGATTTGCAGTAAAACACTGCATCTGCCACATGAATGAACCAGCCTTTGTTCCAAGCCAGCACACAGGCATGTTTGCTTTTAGAGGCTGGAGGTAGATACAAAGACAACAACATATCCATTTCCTTCTCTCATCTAGTACGATCCCAGATACCATGCTATACCCATGCCTCCTAAGACTAAAAACACTGGCCCAAAACCAACTGATCATATCTGCAACACTAAAGACAACAAAAAGGAGTTCAGGCAGTGTGGGAAAGATAGCTATTCCCAGATCCACTTTCTCAGTCTGTGTGTCTACATGGGCACTTGTGCAGTATCTCCAGGATGGAGTGGTGGCTGAAAGTGTCGAGTGCGACTGTTTCTTTGATGAGAGCCCATCATGGAAGTTAAAAATAAAGATTCAGTAAAGGTAAGCCATCAGGTTTAATCACTGCACAAATGTGAGTTGTGACATGAGATCGACTGAGAGGAAATTGCACTTTCAAAAGTGGGTACCAGTAAGTACACACCAAACACTTTGCGCTGCACACAACAGAACAAAGATTTGCTGATCATTTGTCTCACTTGTCATTTGCAGTATTGTAAAGAATCTCCCCAGGCCCACTATTGTTGTCAAAGACACAAACATAAAGCTGCTGACAAACTAACTACAAAGTGAATTATTTCTCTTTGTAGCAGTTCGTACCTAAGATTATTCATATTCATCTCAACAGCATCAAAATATAAGGCAGAAGCTGAATATTCCACGAGAGCCAGCTCTGAGAATCAATCAAATCAGAATCGAAATCAAAACTTGATTACCCCGGTGCCAGATGGGTAATGTTAAGCTTCTGCTCAGAGTAATAAAAAAGCAGCGCAGCCCTGCTTCAGTCACGAATCTACTGGCAAAGAAATTCAAGTGAGGGGGATGACTCCAGGTGTGATCTATAGTACACAAAACTAACTGTGAAAGAATTGAAATATGTTATTTAAACAAACAAAAATAAAAAGGTGTGATTTTGAAGAGCTGCTTTTTTAAAGATCTTGTTTTTGAAAGGTGTAATGAGTTTTCAGATAGGGATTTTGGTTGGATGCGGTTCCTAGATTAAACCGTTTTGCAAGGATCAAAAGATTACACAAGTAACTTAATGCTAAATCAATGCTGGGGTGAGACAAATGCAAAGCACACCCAGAACACTCAAAAGTATCTGATTGCTGCAATTTGGGCTCAAATGAAATGCTCCTGGGAATTTTAACTGCATTTGCAATTTGCATCTAATGATATGATCCAGATGCCCTAAGACTGTAAAAACATAAAAGATATTCTTCATAAAAAACTTTAATGTTAAAATAATCCAACATTAGCTTCCATTACATTTATGAGCACAATAGAAAAAGGAAACAGTTATATATTTAGGCATGATTTAGTGGCATAAGATAGCAGGTAAAAAAAACAAAGAAATCTGCCTCACGGTTTTGTGAGGAGAGAGCTCAGATAAAGGATGAAGCTATCTTTGCCCTAACATGTTCTCTCATGACACCAATCTAATACCCATCCTCTAAGCCTGTCCCTCACTTCCAGTCCTCTAAAGACTCATAAACCTCTCTGTCTACTCTGAAGTCTCCCTTTAGTCTTCCTTCGACTCCTAACGCACATGCACAATAACCACATCACCTTGCTTTTTAATAAACAGAATTTACTGTCACTGCAACCGCATGTTTTCACAGAGATAAAAGTATACTGAAGGTAAGCTGGGCCAGAAAAAAATTCTATAAATGAATGTAAATTTAAACTTCAGAGAAACACAGATGGCAGAAAGATGCTGTATAATTTTCACAGTTGCAATCAGATGCACTGCAGCATGCACACATGTCTTCCATTCTAGCAACAACTTTTATCTCGGAGCTAAATTAAGCATTGTGTCTCTTTTTAGAGAAGCATGTTGTAGCTAATGAGCAGACCAGAGAAGTTAGGGGCTTAACTTCAGTCAGTCATCAGATTCTATGTATCGATTGCAACGGCTGTATTTTAGTTTACAGCGAGTCAAAAGACTTGAGTAACTTTTTCATATGTTCGATTTCTTTGTTTCTCTTGCACAAACAGGAAAATAACAACAAAAATACAACATTTCTTTAAGCACCGATGGCCAAATTGCTGTTTTAAATATTTGTAATGCGTTAGAACAGTTTGTGCACAGCTGGTGAATATCTCACTTTACATCACCCACAGCATAGCAGCTCAGCTTCGACCTCTGAGTTTCCATAAATAAAAATTACCCCATCTCTCTTTAGCATAGCCTTTCTATTCTACTGTATCCAACTGTTTAGCCACACATGGCAGCTTCCACACTCAAACCTCAGTGCTCATGTTGCAGGTTGCTCCCTTGTCATGGACCACACATGAGGGTTACAGTATTTATACACCTTTTCTTTAGCGACATACACTTCCACACATAGACAAATGCCCATTCACGCATGAACAGCTTGCCAACCGTGCTGACCACTTACGCTATTAATTTGACAAAGTAAGAAAAGAAGTTAGATGGAAGAGCCCATTTAAAGCTACTTATGGTAAGCTCAGAGGCGAGATTAGTAATAGTGTATTAATCTACTGCTAAGCTGTCCATACTTTGAAGCAAATATGCCTGTGAGGCTTTAGTAACAATGACCAAAACTAAAATGGCAGTGCTGACTGTTCTCTAGCAAGAGGATTATGGAGTTTACAGCCTGTTGCTGGTAAACATTCTTTAAGCATCTAAACCACAGAGTTCCTTAATGCCAAATTATGTAAGAGCACAAGTATCTATACACGGCCACATTGCTGTCATTACTTCATTTTAGGATGTGCAAATTTGAAAAGAGAACAAATAAGAAGTTGTCAGGTTGGCTGGGAAAAAACCTGAAGTTTGAAGCAGCTTCTGTCCCGTCTTGGATCAGGAGGTTTGCATGCCTAATTGCAGCCTGGCAGCCTGTGGTGACTGGCTCCATTACAAGGAGGCTACAACAGTCAGCTGTTGGTGCTTAACATGCAAGTCATGTCGGAGTAAGCACACACTATGGAGCAGACAGTGCTGTGTAGGGCTACACATCAATAGCACATATGCTTGAAAAGCCGTCGTCTGGGGACGTACAAGAACAGATGAAAATGTCGTCATTTGTGTCCAAGATTTACATTTCTCTTTTCTTCCTGCGGCTGGAAGAATGTCA